AATGAATCATGGAACACTACATCAAAAACTAATGATGTAATGTATAGTGATTAACATAACAATAAAAATACTTAAAAAAAAAAAAAGAATACTAGGCAAAGTTCCAGGGAAGTTATTTAACACATTCTTGTAAAAAATAAATTTGCTCATTCAGTAAAATCGTGTGATATTATGTTGTTAACATTCTAAAGCACAGTATTATCTATGCTACTTAATAGTATATTCTAGAAAAAGAAAACTATCAGATGGTAAGAAAAATACATCCTTTATTATTATAAGTGAACATCAATGTTACAGAGCACCTACCACATGTCTGGCACAATGCTAAATAGTTGACCTTTGAAGAGCATGGGTTTCAACTGAGTGGGTCCACTTATATGCAGAATTTTTAGAGTACAGTCCTGTGAATGTATTTTCTCTTCCTTAAGATTTCCTTAATAACATTTTCTTTTCTCTAGCTTACTTTATTGTAAGAACACACTATAAATACATATAACATACAAAATATGTGTTAATCAGCTATCTCATAGGTAAGGCCTCTGGTCAACAGTAGGCTATTTAATAGTTAAAGGTTTTGTGGAGTCAAAAGTTATATGTGGGTTTTCAGCTATATAGTGGTTCAGTGCATTGTTCAAAGGTCAATCATGTTTCATATTCATTATATCATTTATCCTTATAACAAGTTCCTGAAGTAGATATTATCTTAGCCAGCATAGCGGAGGAGAAAGCAAGGCAAAATAAGCAGATCAAGGTCATTGCCTTGGCAGAAGAAGGACTTGAATTCTTAATCATTATGCTTACCATCTCTTATTTCAATCCTTAAGTTTCAACTTGTTTTTGATCAATTTCATTTTGTATTGCTTAAAACCTAGGTCTGTATTAAATGGATGTTATACAGCACATTTAAACTACATAGTATAATGAAATATAAGCCAATCTTGCAAGCCTTCTTGCAATTTAGAAAGCCGTTTAGATAAGGAGTAGTAGATTTGAGACTGTGAAAGGCACAGCTCTCCGGGAAAACTTAAAGTCATTTTAGCAGCAAAAGAACAACTCTATTCTAGCTAGAAGATGACTTGGTAATCACTTGTATTAAGGGCATTCTTCTGCTATTTTTTGCAATATTCATACCAAAGAATTTTAAATTCTATTTATCTTTAATTCTAAAAACAGAAAGAAAAACTTGAACCTAAAATTAAAGTCTAGTAAATAACATGCCTTTAATAAAGCTAAAGGGAACATAAGATGGCAATGAGTATTATAACTGACCCTGTGGATTCTGTTATAAGCTATCCAAGATGGTGACAAAAAAATAGTGACTAAACAGCAGTTGACAAACAAGGCTAGCTATAACTCAAGAACCTTTTAAAACAAAAGAGGGTCATGGGCTAGAATCAGTGGTACTGTGACTTTTTTCTTCCCTCAGTAGTTCATATTAATTTCAGTTATGATTTAATAT